CATTATAAGCCCCCACGGCTGAAAGGGTGTGACAGGGATTCGAACCCGCGACCCTCAGATTGCGAGTCGAGTGCCTAAACCACCTGGCCATGCGCCCCCCCCCGTCCTTCTTAATGGCAGCTTAAAAAATACGGCAATATATAATGCCATTATTTTGCAGTATTGTCTAACAATTGTGCAGTATTTAAAAAAAACGAATGTTGTAAGACTGGTGACTGGCTTATTGCGTAGACTATTGATTTTGTATAATTTTATGTGAAACACGGGGACATCTAATGAATTATCTCGCTGATTTGCACCACCGTACAAAGTCCACATCAGATTCATTCTAAGAGGTTTTTTCTAAAATTTTCTGCGGTCCCCAAAGGGTCGTTTTAGGAGGAGTCTCACATCCCTCATAGGCGTCCCTTCCGCACGTGCCAGCAGCCACCCACATTTGCAAACGTTCCGCGGCTCATATGTGCATTATTAGAAATATTTATTTATTTTATACCCTACACGTTAATGGAAACTCGCACCTGGCTAGAAAATAATTATGTAATTGTTTTGTTTGTTTTTTAACCGTAAAGCTGCATAATTGGCTATCTGCGCTGTGCCAACTTAATGTATTGAACTCTGATTTTTAGCATCATAAGTCCTTAACGCGAAAGTATGTGGAAAGGACACATCAGTTAAATTGAATTAGATCTTATTACTAAAACAGCATAGAGGAGATAACTGGAAGGAAGAGAACATGTATCAAACTATTTAAATGTATAATAGTAGTAGAAGTAACAGAATTAACGTTGGAAATATTGTGTTAAATCAAATTAAAATATTTTACATAATAATTAATAATAACAGAGTAAATTTGGTTGATTTCGGTCGGTTGCCTTCCGGTGGTCGATGGTTTGGAATAAGGGATGGCGCAACCCTACCTGGATCGCGTACTGATCAATGTGTGCAATGGGATCCCAAAGTTTGAGGGAGGAGAGCCCCTGCTTTGGCCAGTGTGAAACTTCACTAGCTGTGATGTAATATTACATATACTGTTGATCATACTTCGCTGACTCATGCGTGAAACATTATAAGACTTGAACACAAGTACTTTAATCAATAGTTTGTGTTTGTTTGTTTGAAGTTAAGCACAAACCTGCGCAATGGGCCATCTGTGCTCTGCCCAGCACGAGTATCGAAACCCGCTTTCTAGCATTTGAAATCCGCAGACATACTGCTGTATCACTGGGGGCTTAATTAATAGATAAAATACATTTACATAAATTAGTTCTTATTTTTACCAAATGCAAACAATCATTACAAAATTACTTTATGTATAAATAAGTGTTCGGAATCACTAATCAACAATTCTAGAGCTAATAGTTGTAATAACAATGAATTCTGGTATTGATGAAAGGACTCCCGGGAGAGACAAAAGATATATATCAAATATTATTTTTACACATTTTTGATTTGAAATACAAAACAGACATATTAATAATAATGCGAGCAAAAAACATTGTAATTTATATAATTTTATGACAATTGTTTGGCATGTAGGTTTCTAGTGCTTTGTCAGTTTTCGGCCTTTAAACCGTAATTCTAGGTCTATGATATTTGTAGATATAACTTGATAACCACCAGACTACAACTCTAGATCTATGTTATATATAGATATATCTTGATAATCAGTGTCAGACTCGAGAGTGGATGCCTTCCAACCAATGTTTTGGAAAACAAATGGGTTATGAAGTATATTTTCTGTGTTTTAATTTATCCGTTTGATAGAGGGAGCGAATAATAACGATGACGTAATTATATAGAGACTGTCCGAAACACTGAGAAACAAGGATGCAGATACAACTACGATTAAGCAGTTAATTAGAGACAGTACCATTCGTTCAATGATCTAGCACTCAGTGAAGTATTTAGTACGAGAGTTCGGTTCGGTGAGCTATTTATTTAAGTAGTGAATAATAATACAGAAAAGTTAGTGAATAATCGCGTACATTCAATGGTAAACGGTATTTGTGAACTCAGGCCTACAACTGTGTGTAACTACAAGTGAAAGTAGCCTGTAGGAAACTGTTAAGGATGAAATAAACTAATTTGTTGTCCTAAACTGGACTTGGCCTTTTTTGTACCAAATAGTCTAAAACTAAAACAACCCGCTCAGAGATATAATACGTTTTACAGCAATATTCCTATCTGCATCGTTATTTGTTTTAACTAGTACTGTGGTTGCGTCGACATGAATACGTCAGATTACGTTGCAGAATTCTCTGGCGAAATATTTTATTGACACAAGTAGTAGGCATAAGTGCACAAACAACGTTT